ATGCATGCTGATGTGAGCTGGTGGGCGCTGAATGAGAAAGAAAACGCGCGCCCCCGAGCATGCAAATCGTTGTGCGTTGCTGATGCTGCGGGACGCAGCTCATGTGCTGTGCTCACATTGTGTGCAGCTGATCCGTGTAAACGTTCCGGGAGCAGGTGCACGTATGAGCCGACGTGCCCTGGAGAGTCGTGTGTGCGCGCCCTCATTCATGCGACGCCTTAAGCCAGGATTGCCGCGGGAGTGCACGTTGACGCTGGTGTGGTCAGGAAGCAGCACGCAGCATCGGTGGGGCGAGGTTACCACTGGGCTCGGTCTGCAGAAACACGTTCATTCTTGGCTGCGAATCACGTGAACTTTTGAGTGATTCCACGAGCTGCTATATTAATTCAGAAAAGAGCGGAGCCGCTGTGAGGCTTGTGAAACTGCTGACGCCGCGGGAGCGTACGTTTGACACCACTGCGATGAAAAACACATGTTGCTCCTGCCGAGAGCGAGATACGTTACTGGGCTCGTACCGCGGTCTCACGTTAACGTTGACGTGAACGGCGGGCGCTGAGAGCTGTGTGCGCGCTTTCATGCTGCGGGAGCACGAGTTGGCATCGTTGGCAGTGAATTTAAACATCCTTAATATGCTCAATCGTGATGAGTGTGTGTGGTGGGGCCGCTTGTCAGATAATCCATGCTGACAGCCTGGCTAAAAGACACTTCATCATAAAATGATGTTTATTTCACATCGTGTCATCAACACACCTCCAGCAAACCGACACCTGGTTATCCTCCCTTGAGCTCTGTTTGTTGTCTTGGAGGGCCCCCTGTTGGCGAAGTCCGGGAAAAAAATGAACTTCCGGATGCCAGGGACGTCTGACGGGAGGGGCTGGCTTAACAGAGCTGGGGAGGCGTTGTGCAGCCGTGGAGCATCTTGAAATGGTCTCTCGCTGATGAAAAGAGGACCTCCAACAAGCTCCTGCAGCTCTCCTGAGAGGAAGGTGGAGTGATGAGCCAGGAGAACCTCTGGGACCTCATTCTCCGGCTGCGATGTGGGGAGGCAGACAGCAAAAGAGGCGCACTGGTTGGGGATGAAGTCAGCTGCCCTGTAGACGGAGCGTACTGCAGGGGCCCGACAGCGTCGTTAGCAAGCAGCCGCTACGAGAGCGGAGCGAGCCAAAGGACAGAGGGCAACCGTCTCTTCCCGCCTCTGAAACGTGTACGCCAACAGCGTAACGTGTTGTTTGCTGCGGCCGTGTGGAGCACATGCTGGTGAGCTCAGTTGGAGAGCGGTGTCATCGTCTCGGTTACGTTAACCGGAGGCACAGGACGCTGGTCCATCTCGACATCTTGCTCCAATGAAGCCTCCGTCAGGCTTGGCTCCAGGGGGCGCTGAGGGACTTTGCGCTCGGTGAACCCCTGCTCTGGAGATGGGTGTGGACTGTGGAGACCGGCCCCCCCAATCTACCAGGAAAAACCGTCTGTGGCCTCGCCCGTAGGACGTCCTGTTGGGAAAACGAGGCCAGATGGATCAAGACGGTGAGCCGGAATGGAACCTAGTAAAACAACCTTCTCGCCGGATCATCCGAACTGGCGGGAAAGGCGTGGGACGTAAAAAAGGTCCCTTCATGTCAGCCGCCTCCTGGGTTACGCCGGGCAACCCCAGAGGGCGCCGTCGGCCGGGAGCGGTGTGATCGCCGATGCGAAACGAGGTGGGATGGGGTGAGCATTCACTCAGCCCCCCTCCACCGACACTACGCTCTCCAGGAGGGAATGAGCAGCGGGGGGCTGCAGCTGAGCGCCGCCTGTCCCGGAGGAACCATCGGATTCGCTCCGAGGGTCGGCGATAAGAGGAAAATTACAAGATGGCGTTGTCCAGCGTGTAGCGACCTGTCACTGAGAAATACTTCTCGGCGCTTACCTTGAAACAAGACTGCTCGTCAGCTTCTCCTCGGGGAGGAGAACTCACCGGACGACCGGAGGTCGACTGCCGGGCCAAGCATTCTTAACAAAGGTTGGTCATCTACACAACTTTCCTTCTTCGTTCTTCTGACAGTGCCATTAGCTCGCTGAAGAAAAAATGGGAGCCGATTTCCTGCTCTTAACGTAATTTATACGAACCGGGTGGGGCCCACACAGCAGGTGGGTGTGGACTAAATTTTTCAGTGCGATGCTTTGCATATCGGGATAAACCCACTAAGCGACAGCCTTAAAGGGCGAAGCCTATACGAAATAGAATCTGTTTCTTCCGTCTTCGAAATAGCTCCAAACTGCGCCCATCTCTCACCTTTGCTGATGCAGAGAAATGCGTCCATGCTTTTGTCTCCTCCAGGCTCGACTACTGCAACTCCCTGTTTACTGGAATACCTGGCAAAAACCTTCAGAAGCTTCAATATATTCAAAACAGTGCAGCCAGGATTTTATTGAGAGCTCGTAAATTTGAACATATTACACCCATTCTCCATAACCTCCATTGGCTTCCTGTCACCTACAGAATTCAGTACAAAATTGCTCTCATCACCCATCAGTGTTTATACGGAAATTCACCAGATTATCTGAAGGACCTTCTTGCTCCATAATCATCCACCCAGTCCCTACGATCACAGAACAGTCATCTCCTCCACCTTTCACGAACTAAATTAAGAACCATGGGAGATCGGGCATTCTTTGTGGCTGCCCCCGCCTCTGGAACTCCCTCCCTGAATATCTGACAGCTCCACAATCATTGACTGACTTTAAAAAAGGCTTAAAGACTTTTCTTTTTAAGCAAGCCTATTCTGCCTCCACATGATTGTATCGTTGATTTTATCAATGATTTTAGTTGATTTTACCATTGATTTCAGTTGATTTTATCACAGGTTTTAGTTGATTTTATCACTGATTTTAGTTGATTTTATCATTGATTTTAGTTGCACTCTGTAGCACTTTGAGATTTTTGCTAATGAAAAGTGCGTTACTAATTAAATTCATTATTATTATTATTATTACTAGGTGGCGTGCTGTCATTTCTGCAGTAACTGATGGACAGAAATTTAGCGTTCAGCACATTAAAACGTATGCTGCAGCTATTTCTTCCTGTCATGAGGGTTTCGGTGACAGAACAGTTTTTAACCACCCGCTGATGAAGCGTTTTCTGAAAGGTGTACGGAGACACAGACCTGTGTCACGTCCACTAGCTCCACAGTGGGACCTAGCTATGGTTTTGCACACTCAGATAAAAGCTCCTTTTGAGCATTTAGATCAGGCTTCACTTAAATTTCTGTCATTTAAAACAGCCCTCCTGTTAGCTCTGACGTCGGCAAAAAGAGTGAGTGATTTATCTGCTCTCTCTGTTGCTCCTTCATGTCTCATAATTCAAGCTGACGGCAGTTCAGCTGTACTGTTTACTAACCCTGCTTTTACTCCTAAAAGCATCACAAGCTCATTCAGATCGAGAGTGATAACCTTGGATGGGTTTTATCCTCCTCCTCATAATTCTGAGGAGGAAGCAACATCTCACCTCCTCTGTCCCATGCCTGCGCTTTCGTGTTAGGTGGCGCGCATGGCCGCACTGCGCCGCTCTCAACGTCTGTTCGTGCATTATAGGGACAGCTCTGCAGGACGTCCTCTATCCACCCAGTGCCTCTCACAATGGTTGTGTGAGGTTACTTCTGAAGCTTACAGTTAATTTGGGCTGGATCCTCCAGAGAATCTCAGAGTGCATTCCACCAGAGGGATTTCATCCTGCATGGCTCTGCGTGGAGGGATGACAATGGAGGATATTTGTACGGTAGCTGCCTGGTCATCTACATGTTCACTTATTTGTTTTTATCTATGTCAGTGTTTCCCCTACCATTATACAAGGGGGCGCCCTGCCCCGTCAACAGAACTGAGCGCTCCGTCTACCGAACCCCACCCCCCATCCCCAACCACCTGTCGGCACTAACGTAACGCTAAACTAGCGGCTTGCGATGCAGGTGCACTAGCTAAAAAGCTAAAGGCAGCCTCTTCATTCATGCTGAACCCTCACGCTGAACGCACCCCCGCCACTCGAAAACTGTCTGTACAAACAGCGCACGGCTCAAATGTGCGGCTCTCTCCCCCCCCCACCGGCACCCCCCCCCCCCCCCCCCCCCCCCCCCCCCCACCAAAAAAACCCCCAAACTGTTCAGACAGCACGCGGCTGAGTCAGTCTCTCTCCTCTCACACACCCTGCTCTAAAACTGTCAGTACAAACAGAACGCGTCTGTATCCCCCGCTTGTCATTATCAATGTGCCTCTCAAGTTAGCAAGCTAACATTAGACAGCCAGCGAACAAAATAAATCAAGTCCTCAGACAAGGCCTGCTTTCTTGGATTAACTGAAGACCTTTTATTTATGAATCTGTAAAAAAAACCGAAAGTCTCCCAAAGCGTGTAGGGCACATTTAGCGTGTATATGAGTCTTTTTCTCTTTTTCTCACTTATTTTCCAAAGATCTTGTTTTACCGGAGAAAAGACGCCAAAGATAGTTCTGTGGTGAGAGCACTCACTACCTCACGTGCTGCAAGAAGATATGACGAAGATCAGATGTCTCACTCTGATTCGAATTCAAACCCAAAACATTTTAACAGTTTTTATGAATTTACTTAAACTTACTATTAACTATGAATTTATTTATCACCTCATTTATGTAAGTTACATGATGAACTCATTACTGTTTTTGAACAAAAGGCAGCACAGTGGGACTAATTAAATCTGATTAGCTTAGCTTCATGGTTGCTAACAGCTGCATTAAATAAATAAGCCCCGCTACACTCGCTATTTACTTAAGATTTTTGGTGGTGAACAAAGCGCAATTTTTTTTAGCCATTATATCTGTTATCGGCGGTCACACACCCCTCCCAATATCGGCATTGGCGATAGCCAAAATTTCCATATCGGTTGGGCTTTAGACTTAACCATCATATTTCTGTCTGAAATTCTGTCTCTCTCTAAGAATTTTGGAATGTTATGGCCTCAGTGAAAACACTCTATAGTTGTATGACAAATGCTTACCTCGATAAGATTTTTGGCTTGGAAAACATCAGAGATCTCATAACCGAGCAGATCCTCTTTGGTTCTTCCCAGACCCTGGATGTTAACATGCTGGACAACTACCTGCAATCAAACAACAAACAAGGCAACATGAAAACTTCACTACATTCAAAAGGCATTTTTTGAGACTGCTGAAAAAAACAAAAAGTATTTTATAAGCAAAAATGTTTTCTTTTCACATTGTCAATTTTATCAAAGCAGAAACTAAATGTTAAAAATTTTCTAATGCAGCTTTTAAAAAAGTGACATTTTAAAAAAGACTCAAGCCTCCCGCGTACGTCCATACGCAGAGGTACGCACGTACGTACGCGGAGATACGAGTGTACCCCCCAGGGCATGTCGGTGCAAAGCTCAAATTTTACGACTTCATACATGTACGCGGTGTCGCACAATAAACTGCCCAGCGACGGACTGTTTGTATGAGACACCAATGTATTAAATTCCCCTTCTTCATCCCTGATCTGGCCTTTTCTTTTGTTTTTCCAAGAGGCAGTGATCTCTTCCTCCTCCATTGATGCCATGACTGAAATGATGAGAAATGAAGGAATTTGTCACGAGCGAATTAAACTCAGGTCCAGCGTGGATGCGAGAGGGTCTGGAGATTTCCTGGTGGGCTGGTCTGATGTGTGGGCTGCAGGGCCAGCGCTCTCTGTTTTAAAATTTTTTTTTAGATCTTTTTATTAACAACATATAAACACAGAACACCGCTGCAGCTGAGGCTGCCAGCGCTCTTTTTTTTTCCCCCCAACCTGTCAATCAATCCAATAGGCGTGTCAGCAAATGACCAATCAGCGACCTCAATTTGTCCCGAAGATAAACGCCCCTTGTCTGTGAAGCTGCTCTGCAGCTGCTCAGGGTGTACGCTCGAGTACGAAGTCTGAACCTTCTGCGTACAATACACGCGTACATACGTGTGAACGGACGTACGCGGGAGTATACTGGGGGCTTCAGTTAAGTTTCTGTTACACGCAGACAGAACACCCGTCCAGCTATTACATTTAGGGACTTTTAAGGTGAAATGATTTATACAGATGCAGACATTAATTTAATTTAAAAAGGAAAAATTCAAAGTCACTAAAATAACTTGAAAGTGACAAAAATAATAATAAGAATAAAATATCCAAAAACTAAATAATGCAAACTGCTTTTGAATTGCGGTTCAACTGGATTTTTTTTTTATTATGAAACTGGTTTTCATAAAATAAAATATAACCCTTCACTAAACAGTCATTCAATCAATTCTGTAACTGAGACTTCTGGACAGATGTGGCTGAGGGGTTAGAGCAGTCATCCTCCATGCTGTAGTGTCTCTGGGCAAGACAACGAACCCCTCATTGCCTCCGATGTTTGTTCCATCGGTGTATGAATGTGATCTGAAGCACTGATTGATCTCTACAGGTTCAGATGAGCTTTGTAGAGATATAAATGGTAAACGGACTGTACTTATATAGCACCTTTCGATCTAATCAAGATACTCAAAACTCTTTACAACAATCTGTGCCACATTTACCCATTCATACAGCACTCTACTAGATCTCTACAAAGCTAATTGAACAAATTATTCTAAAGAGACTAATCAGAGCTTTTTCACATTCATACACCGATGGGACACACATCGGAGGCGACAAGGGGTTCAGTGTCTAGCCCATGGACACTTCGGCATGTGACTGCTAGTGGATTCGAACCCCCCAACTCTTGCATTGAAGGACGACTGCTTTAACCACTCAGCCACAGCCGCCCCTAGTAGTCATTGGCGTCACAACAATTATACGTGAAGGGGACATGTCCTCCCCACATTTAAAAAAATATTAATTCGGACCCCCACCACACACATTTACCATGAAATATTAGTTCACCTAGCACTGTTTCTATTTCTTTGTGAACAGATCTATTCCACTTGATTACTAAGAGAATAATGAAACCACTAAAAGTCCACTCCGGGTTTTCATGGTTACCTACAACCATTCCATGCAGTGTTTCTCCTCAATGGGGGAGTGGTAGTGCAGAGGTTAGAGAAGGTGGGCCTGTGATCGGAAGATTGCCGGTTCAAGCCCCGGTACCAACAACATCAAAAATGTGGGTGGGGTAGGTGAAGCGCCCACACCTGCCCCCACCCTCATTCGCCCCACTCTGGGCCCTTGCGCAAGGCCCTTAACCCCCATGTGCTCCCTAAAACAGGTCTCTCTTGAAAATAAGTTCTCGTAGCTCAATGAGACTACCTGTATAAATAAAGGGTGAATAAAAAAAAAAAATCATATGCCTTGGCAGGGTGCTCTCAGGAGGTTGAGGCAGAGACACCTCTTTTTTGTGCCCTAGATAGTGCCATGTACGTGCAGGCAATTGTTGATGGGGGTGGGGGTTAGGGTGTGTGAGAGAAGCAGGGGACTACATCTGTAGCATCTTAGCTAACGTATCTGTATTACACGTTGCTAACTTAGCTAGCGGCGCGCAATACATCTGAGCTTTTGGGATGAGCTGTTGATCTTGTTGCTCTCTAAAATAGTTATTTTAGAGAGCACTCTAAAATAGTTATTGAATAAAGTGTTTTCTTATGTAGGTAAATGTACATGTTCGACTTTATTTATTTATTTTCTTTTGGCTGCTCCCTGCGTTAGGGTTGTAGATGAACATATGCATGAGATATATTCATAAATTAAACGGATTCTTTCATTTTTCTGGACCGTATATAATGTGCATTGAATTTAGAAATGTAACGTGAGACGTTAATTATCTTTGACTCACCAACGACAGTGGGTCATTTATTAACAGAATCAAAGTTTAACACATCACACATTTACATTAATTGGCAAAATATATAACGTCCGAAGTAGTGACGTTACTTGTTCGACACAAATTCACCTCACGAGTGGACTTCACATGAGTGGAGTCCGTCAGAGTTCCACTCAGAGGTGGAAGATGTTATAATCCCATAAGACTCGGAAGAGCTCTGTGGTCATGTCAGGATTTTCCTGTTTCCCAGCACGAGTTGCAACGACTGAAGCCGGAGCCTGAAACGACTGGACTTCTCGACACTCGACCTGACTCCAACTGGACTCGACTCCAAACTCGACTCCAAACTCGACTGGGTTGAACTAGGAAGTACCGACATTTTAAAGGGCTCTATTTCCGGTTCATCTGGGAGTTTCTGATTGGTCAATATCGACCAGACAGGGGTGTGTTTTGTGACGTAAGAGGTCACTAGGAGTCAGAAAAACAGCAAGAATGTTATGGAACAGATTGAAAATGTTTTAGAGACAGAGAGAGAAATGTTTAGACGAGTTGGCGGAAAACAGGTGCCAACAGGTGCCAGCTTCTCTATTTACGTCTGAGAGGATGTAAAAACATGACAGCTCGTTCCAACAACTGGTCTGCGTTTGACTCCGACCTTAGACCAACTTACACTGCTCATTCAAAGACAGAAAATCAGAAAATGCATAATTACTCTGTAACAGACCTTAACATGAATTCTAACTTTGCATGAGGATTAAAAATCATTATTACTGTTTCACAGTTAATAAAAAATGATTAGTTCACTACAACATCTAAAATGGTTTGAACTAAAACACTTTGATTATCAAACATTTGTAAAATAGTAATGATAATAGAAAAGAGAGTGTTCTTTCACTTGAATTCAAGAAAGAAAGTCTCAGGATGGGTCAACCTGTATTTCTGGATTCAAATCAATGAATTGACAGTTTCTGTCCCATAAGGTGCCTAAGGTCAAGGTTTTGACATCAGGCCTAGTTCACTACAGGGTTCGCTAAAGCGAACTAAGTCGCATGAAGACTTGGCAATTATTTTTACGCCGAATGCCCTTCCTGACGTAACCACAGACCACCGAGCTACCACAGCTCTCTGTGTGGAGCAGAGAGCTGCTATCTAGGGCACCCAGAGGAGCAGATGGTGGGGATCAAGTGCCTTTCTCAAGGGCCCAGATTGAGGCAAATGAGGGTGGGGCAGGTGTGGGTGCTTCACCTATCCCACACACATTTTTGATGTTGTCGTACCGGGAGTTAAACCAGTGATCTTCCAATCACAGGCCCACCTTTTCTAACCTCTGCGCCACCATTCCCTTGTTTAAGATATTTAACAACCTGTTAAAATACACCAGAATGCAGGAAATGGCATCAACTTGTGGTACCTGTGTGGTACCGGTACCAAAAACCAAACATCCCAAGGACCTCAGTAACTACAGGCCGGTGGCTCTGACCTCACATTTGATGAAGACCCTCGAGAGGCTTGTCCTCAACAATTTGCGCCACCTGGTGAGGTCTTCATTAGATCCATGGCAGTTTGCCTACCGGCCTGGCATCGGGGTGGATGACGCCATCATCTACCTCAGGCACCAAGCTCTGACCCACCTGGAGAAACCTGGAAGCACCGTGAGGATCATGTTCTTCGATTTCTCCAGTGCTTTCAACACCATCCAGCCAGGACTTCTGCGGGACAAGCTGGAGTTATCAGGAGTGGATCACCACATGTCCCAGTGGATACTGGATTACCTCACTGGATGCCCACAGTATGTGAGGACACAGGGCTGTGTCTCTGATATGCTGGTCTGCAGTACGGGAGTCCCACAGGGAACTGTGCTGGCACCGTTCCTCTTCACCCTCTACACTGCAGACTTCACCATCGACTCCCCGCACTGCCATCTGCAAAAGTTTTCTGATGACTTTGCAAATAGTCGTCCTCATCACAGGTGAGGACGACTCAGAGTACAGACAGCGGACTCAAGACTTTGTGGACTGGTGCCAGCAGAACCACCTCCTGATCAATGCTGCTAAAACTAAGGAGCTGGTTGTGGATTTCCGCAGGCACAGGTCCACCTCACTGACCCTGGTGAACATCCAGGGTGTGAACATCCAGGGTGTGAACATCGAGATTGTGGACTCTTACAAGTACCTGGGTGTTCACCTGAATAATAAACTGGACTGGTCTCACAACACTGATGCACTTTACAGGAAGGGTAAGAGCAGACTCTACCTGCTGAGGAAACTGAGGCCTTTTGGAGTGCAGGGGGTGCTCCTTAAGCCCTTCTTTGACTTGGTAGTGGCATCAGCCAT